TCTCCGTCACTTCACTTATTGATTTCAATCTATTTCCATCTCTGTCTTCAAACACTTCCACTATGTCACCATTCTCACTCAACCTCACTGCCAAGCCGCCGCCCCTGTACTTGGCCAAAGCTGTTTGAAATTTCGTTATGTCCAATGGAAGTTTAAGCAAAACTTTCCCGATCCATGGATATGAAAATAGCAACTCAGAAAGCTTCTCTCTTTTCGAATTTATACCAACCCAGTATCCTCCTCTAGGGCTCCTTTTTATGTTATCTGGGAAACCTTGTAGCTGAGCAAAGACTTCAAGAGCCCCAGCTTTTGATGTTTTTATCCAATACCTTAAGATCCTACAGCTGGTGGTCTCTGCTAATAAAACGAAACTGCCATCCTTGCTTAATGCTACTCCGTTTGGAAACGTGAGGTTCTTGAGAAGTACTGTCACTTGTTTGCTTGCTGCATCATATTTCATCAGTCTTCCTGATTTATCCCCGCTCAATACAACAGAGAGATAATCCCTACATTATTGCTTTTATCATTCATATGATAAATTAAGATACATAAAAACATATGTGCATGTATGTTAAGGCTGGTCATTGTATTTTTCTTGAGAAACCCTATATTATGTATTCAATACTTCGTAAATGTATACATATTTTTCTTTAACGTTTATAAAAAATTTGTGAACAATTATTTAAAGTGATTATCATTCGAAAGAAAGTTCACATCCTCGCGGTATAAACTATAAAATTGGGATAGCTTCGAATTTGTCCCCAACTCGTCAACTAATTTTTTATCAGATCACAAATCTATTTTTTTTGTCAATTAAGTCTCATAGAATCACAATTTTTTTAATTGGGTTTTCTCGTCTACAAATCATTATTTAAAAAAGTAGTATTAAACGCGAAAGTTATATTCTAAATTACGTATTTCCATTTTTGAAAGTAAATAAATTAGGGATCTAATTGAGGACTTATTCTATAATTAGATTAGGGGTTTAATTGAGGACCAAAAGAGTTTATAGTCCCAATAGAGAATATTTGTATCGATGAGGACTTTATGAGTATAAACAGAAAGTTCTCCTAATATGATCATTTAATAAATTAATTAATTAAAAAGGAAAGAAGAAGAGAGCCTTTCACGTACCTTCTTTGGTATTGCGTGCTACTATCAGTAAAATAAATGGCACCACCTGACTGGTCTATGTCCAAACTGTTAGTGAATCTGAAGGGAATTCCTTGTGCATGTGTCGCGATCTTAGTGGCCAAGCCACCCTGAGGCCCCACTCTAAGTAATCCCATGTAAGCATCAGCAATATATAGATCACCGCGTGTTTCGTCGAAGCATGATCCTAATGGACGCCCGCAAACGTGCTCCATCCGATGGTGATCATGTGGCCCTCCACAGCCGTCCCTGTTTGAAATCGTGACTCTCAACTTGTTAGAACTAGTCAATACAAAAACCCTTGTTAAAATTAAGGAATTAAACTATTCAATTCTACATAAAAATCCCACCAAAAGAAGAAGAAGAAATTGTTTGATTCGATATAGGAATTGTAACAAGTGCAATTCCATTTGGAATTGGATTTCATTGATCATTATCATTCTCCTTCAACAATTTGAGACGACGACTTTCAATTGTTGTTCATTTCTTTATACATGGATAAATTGTTGTTTAATTCTAAGAAACAACAACTTTTTATTGTTTATTTAGTATAAATGGCATACAATAATTTTTTTTTGTGAATTAAGTATTTTGTATTTCAATAATATTAGACTCGATACTTGTTAATTACTTCAACTATCCTACGACTTAATTTAGTTTTCAATGATTAGCAACTAAATCAATGCTTCATTGGCAATTTTTTTTAAAATGGTACAGGAGCGGAGGCAAGGAGTGGCTGGCCTGCAAATTATTTAAAAATCCCCCCGTCTTTCCCTTGAATAATTATAAATTTTAATAACCCTTCTTAAAAGATCCTTTTCTAATTTGCCCCACCAAACCTAGTCTCATGGCTCCGCCTCTTGTCTACTTAGCCACCAACTTTTTAATCTTATACCAACGTTAAAATGGTTCTGTTTTAAGGTTGTTGTTTAGATACATACCTGTTTGGAGAAGTTACAGCAAAATCTATCCATCTTTTTTTATCTCCTTGCCATTTGATTATCCTGCCATCCGACAAAGTGGTATAGGGACCCTCTCCAAGTGAATCAAATGCAAAACTTTCAGGCCCGATCGCACCCACAATCGGAATCTCATTAAGTTGACTAACTTTGGCGTCGGAGAGAGGTTCCAAATTGGATGTTTCAGAGGAAAACATAACAATGACCAAGGTGGAGAGAAGAAGAGGTATGGCCATGAACAAGAATTTCGTGGCCATAGTTATGGAAAAAGAAAACATAACAATGTTTAGGAGCTGTTCTTGTTGCGCGCAAGAGGTAAAAGGGTGCTTTCTTGCTTTATTATTTATTGGTATATATAGGGTTTAATATAATAACAATTTCTCCCTCTCATTGATGATTGGTTGGGAAATTAAGAAGAATCTCAATATATTTGGACCAAATTAAATTTTCACTCTAGGTCTTATACTCGAATATCGTTGCTAATTACTTAAGAAATATGGAATATTTATGTATTTTACTAGCTTCGCTAGCAGACAATCAAACTACTATCGCTATTTCTTAATTTATATAGAAGTATTATATTTTCACTTGAAATGTAGTTAATGGACTTTAATTTTTTCTGTGTCCTCAAAGAACACGAGCAATGGGAATATTCCAAACTTTATCAATATTAATTTTGAATTTCATAATTAGATTAGATGAAATTAAACACGTATTTGGATCTGGACATTTCTTTTGTGTTTTGAAAAGAACATGGTATTTCCTAATTTTCTTCATTGATTTTGAGCAAACAAGAACGCACCATAGGCGTTTACAAACCATACATGTGTTCTCCCTTAATTATGTAAGTGAAGCTGACGTTCCTATCACTAGAATTTAATTCATTGAAAAAATTAATGGTTAGAACTCACAAGGGTTGCATTTTTATAGGCCACCCCATAGCATTCTTGCTCCATTTTTATTTTTTTTATTTATAATTTACAAAATTGTATATTAACCCCTTCAAATATATTATAGAATAAGAGTTTGAAAGACTACTTAATAATTTTTTAAGTATGCTAAATGGATTTGTTTATTTTCTTATTCAATGTATATATGTCAAATCATTTATATGAAGGGAAATGAAACTAATTTATTCTTGTATGAATAACATTGAAATCATTCAATAAATGATTAATTTTTATTAAATAAAAATCTTGATTAATCACTAAGAAACAATAATCTAAAAATAGTAATTAATATGTAATCTTTTTTATATATTTTTCGTGCTTTTACTAGAACTAAATAACTCGATATTGGACTCTAATCAACAATAAATATTAGATACTTTTGTAAGCTATTGTACTCTTAATATTCTATCATTGATGTGATCCTACTAAAATTTTTTTCTCCCAAACCATGGTGCTGCCATCTTTTTCATCTTTTTAACGGTAGTTTTCTTCTTTTTTTTTTGTTGGTTTTCCTCTTCTTAGCTATTTAATTTGCAACGAAAGATTGATGTAACATACAAAGTAGTGTAAATATATTCTGATTTAGTTTGGTATCACATTTAAAACTATTATAAATAAAAAATATTTTAAAAAATATCATTTTTATATATTTATAAATAAAAAACATTTTAAAAAACAACTCCTCTCCCTTCCTAAACCAATTGACAATGGATCTAATTCCACGTTTTCTTCTCTCTAGATACATGTCTCTTGCGTGCAAAGTGCTAAACTCTACATGTTAAGATTGCAGTAGCTTCTAAAAAAAAGAGAGAGAGGTTATTTCTTAGCTACTATATATATAATGTTGGAAGAAGAATCATCCCAGTTCTATTGACTATTGGGAAACCAAGAAATAGGTTGCTCGGCCCAATTCGATAATTCCAATGTAAAAAACACTAAATCAACATTTTCAAACAAGGCTTGTAATTATAAGATTGTGGTCAACTCTCACTATCGATTAATAACCACAGAACTAAAGATAATTGTCTAAAATTAAACATATATAGCTCGTATCGATCCAAGCCAGGCATGCAATGGTATATATCATCTCCTTCACTAATTTCCTTTTTCATATACATTTCCTTCTTTTGAGAAGTGCGGGTGCCTTGTATATAGACTGTAAAAAGGTGCAGGTGCATTGTATATAAATTAAGAAGGTGCACTGTATATAAATTAAGTACCTCTTCTGGGTGTGCATTGTATATAAATTAAGAAGGTGCATTGTATATAAATTAAGTACCTCTTCTGGGAAGTAATTGCAAAATTGATCCAACGCCTTTCGTGTTCTTCCCATTTGATGATTCGACCGTCGGATATTCCGGCATAGGGTCCCTGGCCAAGTGGGTCGAAAGCAAAACTTTCAGGTCCGGTTGCACCATCGAGTGAAAGAGTTTCCCATTCCCAAAGTTGGTCGTGGCCTTTTTGATCTATAACAGATGGTTGATACAGAAACTCATGATTAATTGCAATCAAGGCTGATATTAGAACTACAATTGTTGCTGTTAAGAATAGCTTTGCAGCCATGGCTACGGCGAAGAGGATCTGGGAAGGAGATTTAGATAATCAAGAGGCCAAGAACCAAATTTACACGATGAGACAAGTTTTTGTGTTGGAAACACCAATTCGACAAGGCTTCGTCCGTATGTGAAATGACTACATTAAACTTTTATTCGTTATTCATATTTTAAAATAATTAACGTGGGATACCTTGAATATCCCCATTTAATTATGAAGCTTAATCTCAAAATCCATGTGTTAGGTTTACATTTTTATGTTGACGAAAGGTTCACGTCTATCGGTCTAAGTATACGCCACGAGGGCAATTGGGAGCACTCGCAAGCCACATTTCTTCGATCTAAATAGTAACTGATGTTAGAGATACTTAGATATACAGATTGCATTGTTCAAATTCAAAGGGATTAGGTTAGGTAGTTTCAGATTATGATAAATTAGTATTATCTTATCTAACAGTTCAAAAACTTACTTTGTAATTTGTATTTCTACGCAACACATTCAATGAATAGAGCAGCTTTTTGTACAATAGCCTGTTTGGTAAAGTCGTTTTTTTTTTTAGGAGTGTGTTCCAGTTAATTTTTAAAATGTTTTTATATTAAAATACATAAAAATAATATTTTTTATTTTTTAAAAATTATTTTAAAATCAACAAATTTAAAGTATATAAAAAATTTAATTTTTAACAATTTTTTTAAGAAAAACATGGTACAAACAGTGTCTAAGAGCAAATACACGTGGCAGTCCCATCTTTTTTTATTTGGACGCTTCTCAACCTTCTAGTCTTTCTCATTCTACCTTGCTGTCCATCATCATGCCCACCTCTCGTCAATCTTTCTCTATCAAACCAACTTCATCCACTTATCTCAATTAGAGTATTCAATTCACATCAATTTCGAACGGCTACAATCTTGACTTTCACGTCAAAGTCACTAAGCCAGCTTCTTCTCCATATGTTTTTAGTGCTGAAACCAATCAAGTAGAAACTAATCTAGAATCTCAAACCTGGTTTCAAATGGATCAGATGTTGTTAAATTGGATTTTTTCTTCTTCGACAGATGAAAGTTTTTCCATATGCCATTGAAATCACAATAATTTATGATGATTGACAAGCAGTGTATAACAAGGTTATAGTTTTATGTTGTTTGAGAATGCTAAAAAGATATTAATTTAAAATAAAAATTATTATTTTTAAAATGAGAAAATAAACATGCTCAAGTCTGGGATATGCTCTAGCTTTTAGTTTTATTTTAATCACTTTCTGGTTGTATATTAATTGATGTTAGTTGCAGATATTATGAGATTGTAATTCCTTTCATCGTGCCCTAATCTTAGGCTTATATTTTGCAAGAATATTAGTTTGGAAAGACATATTATCCGTCAAGAATAAAAAACCTAATATTATATGACATATTATCTGTCAAGAATAAAAAATCTAATATTGTATAATGATGACTCTAAATGATATCAATAACAAATATTTTTTATTTAGATTAATATGGATATTCGGGTCAGCTTACATACATCATGATTAATCTTATAAATTCTAAAATTAACAATAATGTAAATCTACAATGAGCATAATAACAAATGAGCATAATAACAAATACTTTCTTGCAAAGAGATAGAACCCTCTATCGGCCTTTAAGTTAAATAAATGGCTGACGTACCCCATTCAATAAATTCATGCTCCATATTTGGGCCCAATCGTAAGGCATGAGTTCAGTTATGCCAACACAACATTTCTCTAATATTCACACCGCAACTTGTTTTTTGGCCATATTTTTAATATATTTTCAAAAAAAATTAAAAATTATGAGATTATAAAAAATATATTTTTGACATGATTTTATTTCACTAATCTTCTGTCATTTCATAGTTTTGAATCATTTTATTTATTATTTTCATGATAACTAACTTGATTTAAAAAAACTAATTTGAAGTAAAAATAAAAAAAAATCAATTTTTTTAAAAAACTTTTAAAATGTAAAAGCAGCATACCCTTATGATGGTTAATTTCTCCTCAACATTAGAAAACGTGGACGGCCATTAATGCATTAGATTTTAGAATTAAACCATATATTAGAGTAGATTTTAGAATTGAATCAGACAGATATTTTGTGTTTTTTATTTTAAAATATATTAAAATAATATATTTTTTATTTTTTAAAATTAATTTTTGATATTAGTACATTAAAATAATTAAAAATTACCAAAAATTATTTTAAAACAAACAAATAAAAATTTAAATTTTTACAATAAAATCTTTTAAACACAAATAAACTGACACATCCTGTTAAAGCTGGTATATAGGAATCGCAGCAACCTGAATTGAAGGGTGAGCACTAGTAAAAAAAAATGAATTACTTAAATTTTCTGAGCTAATTTGGTTAAATTCAGGTAATTCTCTAAAATTATTTTGAGCTAATTTGGTTAAATTCAGGTAATTCTCCGAAATTATTTTGGAGAAAATTGGTAAGGGTTCGAGAATTTTGGAAAATTCAAATTATTCTAAATAAAAAAAATCATAAATATACGAGTAATTTGTTACTTGGTTGGAAAAAAAATAAATTACAATGAACCAAAAAGATACTCAAATTATTCCAGAAAACTCGGAATTTTTTATTTTCTTAAAATATAATTAGAAAAATATCATTCGGAGAATCAGAAAATCCCCATCTCCTCAATCTCCTTCATAGCAGCAGCATTGAAGTTGGGGGCTACACAAGAAAAATGACAGACAGCCTGCTTGTTCACCCTTTTCTTTCTTTATTACTCTAGTTGTTTTCTAACCACAAGGAAATGAAAAGGAGCTTTCTGCGAAACATTTCGATTACAAGTTGTAAGTGCCAAGAAAAGGCATTAGTACTGAACCAATCCAGAGCTTACCATCCTTCTCCTCTACTTCACTAATAAACCTTAATGTTTTTCCATCGCAGTCTTCTAAGACATCCAGAATTTTCCCTTCCTCGCTCAGTTTTATGGCAGTTGCATGTGCCTTTCCTCCTACTAACAGTGAGTGCAGTTGCTTGAAGCTGAGTGGAAATTTTAACAATGTTCTCCCAATCCATGAATTTGAAAGCACCACCTTCGCAAAAAGTCCCTTTTTAGAATGCAAAGCCACCCAGAACTCCCCTTTTGAATTTCTTCTGATATTGTCTGGGAATCCCGGAAGCTCAGAGAAAACATCAGACTTTCCAGCATTGGGGCCATGAAGCCAAAACCTTAAAATCCGACAACTTGTGGTTTCAGCTACTAGCAGAAAGGTAGAGTCCTTGCTCAATGCAACACCATTGGCAAAAGCGAGGCCTCGTGCTAAGACTGTTACTTCTTTGCTTGATCTATCATATTTCAGTAACCTACCCGTCTTGTCTTTGGTCAAGAGTGATAACATAAATTGTCTGCCAATAAAAAATATATAAACAAATAAAAAGAATGAATGAACAGACAGCGTATGTTTTTGGAGGGAAAAAAACTCAAGATACAAATAGAAGAATAAAATTTGTTATGCTTCTATCCCACCAAAAAACTTCTAAATGCAACAAGTAGGGGTAATTAAAATCAAAAGGTTAATCTAAATGCAACCACACCTCTCTGCACATAATGGCATAAAGGAAATGAATGGCCTGGTCTCCTGTTACCCTTCAATCTGGCATTCTTCTAACCTTTTTAAATAGCAAGTGGTGTCTCCTCCTTTAAGATATCTTTAAAGGAAACTTAGACACTGTTAACTATGAAAATCCGCTTAGGTTCTCTACAATAGTCTTAAACTTCCATAGCCATGCAATAAGTTTGACATCTAAAATGCTCAAACTCATAAGCCATTTAAAGCTTCAATTTTAAAATATTTGCATTTCAACATGTATAAGTCTCACTGAATTTTCTTTTAATTGGTTCTTAATGGCACAGGTTTCTCAAGTCTACAAATAGAATTCAAGGTTTAAGCCAAATATCCTGATAAATTCACCCCCACCCTGCACACAGGAGAAAACTATTAAATATCAAAACATTCATGCCTTGAGAATAAAAGCAAATACATGTTCTTCTATGCTTAAATTACCTTCTTTGGAAGACCATGCTCGTATCTGTGAAGTAAATCACATCTTCCTGCTCATCAATGTCCAAATCATTGGTGAAGCGCATTGGTTGGCCTTCTAATTCAGTGACAACTGGTGTGGCTAAACCTCCAGTTGGACCAACAACTTGAAGACCCAAGTATGCATCAGCGATGTAGAGATTTCCAGTTTTCTTATCAAATCTTAGTCCTAATGGCCTTCCACAGACATGTTCCATTTCAGGAGCAAATGGGCGAACACACTTGTTCCTTGCAAATTGAGAGTTGCAGTGAGTCAAAAGAATGTGAAACTTTATAATGTATGATAGGAAAAATATATAAAAAATCCAGTGTGTATTCATGATGGTGAGTCCTCTCGGTCTATGAAACAGGGAGTTTACACTTTCCACACAATTGAACACCACCACTGTATCAAACCATTTAAAGTAGTCAACAAATCCAGCAACTACATTTCAAGCAGCCTGTTAACTAGACAAAGCTACCACCAATTCACTTCCTTGACAAGGGAAAGGCAGAGGGAAGTAACGAGCTCCATGCACTTAGATGGTTGAACAAACTGTAATCTAAACCAACAATTATCGGCATCAACTACTGTTTTCTAGAATCAAATACAGCCCCTTAGCAATCCTACCCACGGAACAATTTCGTTCCATTCAAAAACTACATTCACGTGATTTCTTTTTGCTTATGCGTTCAAATTCGCTCTCTACTTGTGAAAAGCTGAATCTTTTATTTTTTGATAAAAGCTACATGAAAAGAAATACAATCAGAGTCATCAGCAACGGATGCTCAGATATCCAATTAACAGTATTTGACAAGATGCGATGTAATAACAAGAGAAAGGTGCTTACTGCAATCCGTATTAGCACAATCTACGCAACAACTCTAGAACAAGAAAATTTCCAAATTTGATCGAAAACGACTTCAACCCTTCATGAAAATATAATTTTGCAAAAGCAATCATGCAGAGTCAAATTTTTTCACTAAAAATACTCTCTTTTCCATTCCTCCGCTGTTCAGCGAGGAAGACCTTTGCTGGCCAACAATGATTAAGGAGCACAATTTAACACCAAACAATCAAAACAAAGACTAGTTTGATAACCCA